GATATGAGAGTATTTTTGTTTTAGTTACCATTTCTTAGCATTTCTTATGATTATATTTTCTTGCTGCAGATTACATTCTCATGAGGCAACCATCCTGGTAGTAATTGAGCAGATTTAGTATGTTTTAGTATATTGGCAACCATGATTTTTCCTGAAAGTGTAAAAATGATTTGGAAAAATATTTGTTCTTTTATGTAGTATTCAAGGTAGAATATTGGGTTCCTTAGTTGAATGTCCTGAGATTGACAAGTTGAATGTAGAGTTAAGTGCAGCTGGTGGAAGAGTGTTTTAAGGTGCCAGGATGGACAGAAGTTGCTTGGTGAGTTGAGATTAGTTGGGTTTAGACAAGGAACCTCTATTAAAGAAGAAACTCTGTAGCTATACTTAAAGAAATAAAGGAATGTGGGTTAGGAGACAATGAATGACACTTTTTTGCACTATAATATATTTTCTGAACACTTGGGAGTGTGTTAAGGAGGATAGATGGCCAAGGGAAGTTTGGAGTCATGTATCTAGACATGAAAATAGAAGGCTGGGCCAAGGCCACCTGATGAAGAGCTTTTAAGGCTATACTTTGCATTCAATGAAAATGGTTGAAATTTTTATAATTAGGATGTGTGCTCTGAGAGATTATAGTTCTTGTACCTTTATGGAATTTTTGCTGAGTTCACTTTCTTTGAAATATATTTAAATCCTAATTTAATACAACAGATTTGAATATCATTATCAGTGGAGTGCATTTAATTGAAATCAAATTGATTTAAATAGCTAGCCAAGAAATCTCAGTTTAATCTCCTTTTCTTCCTCTGGGAACATTCATTTACTTGTATCTACTCTCAAAGCTTAGAGGTAGCAAAAGTTTGATTTATGAGGAGACATAATTTTCATTTAAATTAATTGTTTAAGTACTTTTGAGGCTAATTTTATAGGTACATTATAAAATTGAATTGCGTGTTGGACATTCTTTTCACCAAGGCTAATTGAAGTTACTAGTTCTAAAGTGTAAGATTCTACAATAATTTCCAAATCAAAGGTTTGTCATGATATTTAAGGGATATTTTACCATGCTGTATAAGGAATGCATTGACCATTCCCTAGTTCCAAGAACAATAAATGTTTAGTATGTTATATTTAACTAAAATAACAGCAGTGTAATTATTTTAATAAAAATAAACCCATGCACTTTAATATTTTATCCATTTTTGTTATGCCTCAAGTAAGTCTTAAAAGATAGATATTGTTAAATATCTCTACAGATAATTTTTGCGTCTTTCTGATAATTAATGAGGTAATTATTGGATTCGTGCTATGGAAATAGCTTTATGTTTTCTTATAATATATGCTAATATATGCTAATTTTAAATAATTTGAGCAAGATAGTGAAAACTAATTCCATAATTCTGCTTCTTTTTCTCTAGAGATAACCACTATTACCAATTGGAATATATCTTTCCAGACTTGTCAAATATAAATAATGAGATCTCATACTGTATGTATTCTTCTATATGACCTACTTTTTAAGTACACACACACACACACGCACACACATACTATCCATTTTAAGATTTGTAGATCTGTGTCATCCATTATAAGGGCTGCATAGAATCCCGGTGCATGCATGTACCATAATTTATTTTGCCAATCCTTACTGAGGATGGGTATTTAATTTATTTCTAATTTTTTTAATATCATTGACAGAGTGGCATTGAACTGCCTTGTACATATATATTCGGCCATTTGTTCAAATATTTCCGTAAGATACGTTTTCAAAAATGATATTGCTAGATCAAAGTAAATGCATTTTTAACATTTTGAAACATATTACCATATTGTCTTCCAGAAAAGTTGTACCAGTTTATGTTTAATATAACATTGTATGAAAACCCCATTTCCCCATAACCTCACATTTTTAAACCGTTGATAATCTGATATGCACAAATAACTTTATTTGTATATCTGTATATATACATATAATTATTTGTGTTTGAGCATCTTTTCATGTGATTTTTGAAGCAGTTATATAATTTTGTGAATTTGTCTTTTCCAAAATTTGTTTGTGAACACTTTTTATAAATTAAGGAACCCATAGCAAATATTTCCCTGTTTGAGTTTTTTAAAAAAATATTTGAGCATAGTTTTAAGTTTTTTGTTTGTTTGTTTTGCTGAGGAAGATTCACCCTGAGCTAACATCTTCCTCTATTTTGTATGTGGGATGCCTCCACAGCATGGCTGACGAGGGGAGTAGGTCTGCACCTGGGATCTGAACCTGCAAACCGGGGCTGCCATGGCAGAGCACACAGAACTTTCACCACTTGGCCACAGGGCCGGCCCCAGTTTTAAGTTTTTATGTGGCAGATCTATCAGTCTTTTCCTTTATGGTTTCTGGCCTTGATGTATTTGTTAAGAAGAGATCTTCCCCACCCCAAAACTATACAAACATATACTTCCTTATTTTCTGGTACTTCTATGTTTTATTTAATCTTTAATCTATCTAAAATTATTTTTTGGTCTGACATAAAGCAGAAATCTAGTTATATCTTTTTGTTCAAATGGATAGTGAATTTTTTTTGACACTGATAATTGAATAATACATTGTTTCTTTTGTTACTTGAAATGCCACTTCCACCCCTACCCCTTGAACAATCCCATGGGGCTTTTCATGACAGTTTTATTGTATTTGTCTACTAGTTAGTGGAGAACTTGAATCTTGTCAATGTTATCTTTCCAGTAAGTAATTTTTTCTGCTTTCATTTATTTGATCCTTCCTTTTTTGACTTTAAATGAAATTAAATTCTGTGTATAATTTTTGCACATATCTTGTTGTTTTTTTCTTGGCTTGTTTATAATATCTGTGGTTAATTTGAATGAGATCCCCTCACTCCCACCCACCCCTGCCATTACATTTAAAAGTAGGTTGACATAAGACAGCTATTAATTTTTCTATATTTATATTTTATTTTGCCACCATCACTTTTAGTCTAATAATTTTTCAGTTGATCTTTTCGAATTTTCTAGGTAAATAATTATATTCTCTGCAAGTAGTAATGACCTCTCACCTTCTTTATAATGTTTTATACTTAATATTTCAACCTTGCCTTATTGCTTTGGCTTACATATCCAAAATTATGTTCAAATTATTTATTTGAACCTATTTATTTATTGAATTACATTGACGGATTGCCTAATGTTGATCCATTCTTACATTCCTGGAATCAACCTGAATTTTTGAAGAATATATTGTTCTTTTAATATACTGCCTTATTTTACTTATGTTCATAAGTGAGATGAACCTATAATTAACTATTTTGGAATTTTATGCTTTTCAAAATGCTTTAGCATGCTTTTTCCCCTCTGATCCTTAAGCCAGCCCTATGAATTAGGCCAGGAATTATTATAGTCTTTTGCAAGTAAAATCAATAGTCATAGAACTTTTTGCTTGGCACGAAGTCACACAAGAAGGTAGTGATGGTGAAAGTAAAATCCATTAGTTCCCAATCCAATGCTTTGGGGAGAAGGAATTTATTTCATTAATTTCTATTAGTAAGGTATTTATGGACTTTGAATTTTATTATCTCAAATAAAAACTATCCTTACATAGTTTCCTTTTATGTTTGTCTAAACTGAGACAATACATTTGCTTGCACTTTGACCGTGGAGACCTCACTGGGTATCAGCGGGAGAGGGAGGGTGTTCACCCTACAGGAGTCTCTGTGCTGAGAATGTGCATTCTCTGAGATCTGCCATCTGTTTGTTGCACTTGGGCAGATGCTGATGTTCAGTTAATCAGAGATAATACAATAAGGATTAAAGTGTTAGATGGTTCTAACCCATTGCGGAAGTTATGGATAAGACTTGAAACCTTTAATCAGATTCATGTTGATGTTCAACTTAAGTTGAGCCAAAGCTTTTATATGTCCATGGTAACTAGTCCTGAAGCGCATGTTCTGTTATCACGATAAGAGAAAAAAAATGTAAAGGATGTGTTTGCACATTGCTTTGGGTCAAGAGAATTCACATTCTATTTTATATGTGATTCAGGGATTACCTTAGAGAAAGCTCACAGATTGCTCTTAGGGATTTATTACAGAAAAATGTTCAATTGGGAAGTTTAAAATAATTTAAATGTAAGTTTTAGAATCTATAAAGACTTAATACAAATGCAAGAAATGGTCCATTTGTTAATATATACATCCATTTACTAAATGGTAGACTAGACTTCTCAAAGTCTAGAGAAAAATGAATTTAGACTATAAATGAATTGTTTCTTAAGTTTGGTTAGAATTATGCAAGTTTGAATAGAATGATGCTTTTATAAAATTGACATTTAATTTCCGTGTCCCAAGTCACACACATTTACAAAATGTTATTAAAAAGTAAATTCATTGTTTTTAAATCTCCTGTAAGATTTTTTTTCTTAATGAGAAACCTACATGTGTCTACTCCTATATAGTACAATGGCACTGATTCCATCTCTAAGAAATATCATTAGTAATTATATGTTTCATATATACCCTAATTGGAATTTATAAATGATCTTTATAATCTGAAGTCTTGTCCTTTCCAAATATTGCACAGAAAACTCTGAATTCCTGGAAGTTGACTTTTTTTCAAAGTCTATTTTGTTAATAGAACTTTATGCTCTGAAGCAAGGCTGATTATATCTCTCATTTCCATTTATGCTAATATAACTCTATGATTTTTAAAAGTTGAGATATAATTGACATATAACATTGTTTTAGTTTTAGGTGTACAAAATAATGATTTGATACATGTACATATTGTGGAATGATTACCAGAATAAGTTTAGTTAACATCCATCACCACACATAGTAAAAATTTTTTTCTTATGATGAGACCTTTTAAGATCTACTCTTCTAGCCACTTTCAAATTCTAAATGATTTTCTTATTTTCATAAATTACATCTGTTTCTGAAACTCAGTCCCAATAACAGCCTATGATAACAAATGGTAGCCCCCACATAGTATTGAAATATATTGGGTATTTCTTTTTCAGTTTTAAATATGCTTCATTCAAATTTAGATGACTGGAGAATATGTTTAAATTCCAAAATAACTAAAATCCATGTAAATAATATATTGGGTTCCCTTAATTGAAGGTAAATATTACCATTAAAAATTGAAAAGTCACAATGAAGGAGAAACTATTCTGTAAACTGGCTATTTGGTACACAAAGGAAAATGGGAAATTTTGTCAGGAATATTTGTGAAATGAACTCCATTTAATAATGTTCCATCAAATAAAGTAGTGTAAGTAAGTGTGCAACATTAGTTAGAATGAAAAAAATAAAATTATGCCTAGATTTGAAGGCCTAACTAATTATTTATCAGTTTCTGATGGATGGTCTAATTAATACCTATGAAATAATTAGGGCATTACATTTAATCTCTACAATAATACACTGAAAGACATGCATTAGTTATAGGTGTTAAAAGTATACGTTTACATATTCTTCATTATAGATTTTCTTTTTAAAGGGACCATAACATGCTGCTTTCTCTCAAGAGCCCCTCTGATTAATCCTCACACCAGAAACAACAAAGTCGGTGCTGGCCTAAGTTCAGCCAGGATTCCTGGGCCCTGCTGTGCAGGGAGTCTCGTGAGGAAGGACCGAATCATATCTCAGTCTCCAGGCCCACTTGGTTCTTGGCATCTCCGCTGAGAGTTGCTCAGGCTACTGATGAATTTTAAATGCAGTGTTTTGGAGTGTGAGGTGGACATGTCTTGTAGGAACAGGATTGATAGCAGCATGTGATTCCTCAGAGGCCGTGGAATAACTGGCAGATGACCTTTACTGGTGTCTACCTCATTTTGTTCAAAGTGGGCTGCTAAGGCACGGTACTGCAGCATATTCTCCTGGGACTTATAATAAACGAAAGCATGCATTGCAGCAGTAGGGTTAGTTGAAAAGGTCATGTTTTAAACTAGGAAAATGAGAGTGTTAATGTTCCTTGTAACTGTGTACAAAGTAGATCGTGTAGGATGCAAGAGGAGATTGCTAAGATTGAAGTGAGAAATGAGGCCTTTTCCGTGAAAGCAGTTGACACATAAAGGAGCATCTATGCTTGTGAACTTGAAGGGAAATAAGAGTTGAGAATAGAAAGCTCATCAGTCAGTGAGGTTTCACAATAAACAATTGCATGGTCTGTGCCCTAATGCTGTGGGGAAAACAGCAATGGCAGGAATCAATGGAACAATAGAGTGAACCGGGTGTCCAGAGATACAGGCTTCCAAAGCCATTGTCTACCTGGACTCCTCTGTGGCCAGTCTCTTCACCTATATGGATTTAATTTCCTCATTAAAAGAGAAAGAAAAATTCCAAACAGGTGAAACAGTCTTTGATTCTACCTGTGAGTGTTGATCTATAATGAAAGGTCAGTGATTTTCACTAGCTTTCAATGATTTTGCTTCTTGAATGAATTACAGAGATGGAGGAATATAGAAAACGGTTCAAGGAGAGGTAATTCTTCACCTTCGCTCTACTGTTGTTGAATAAACATCATGTAAGTAGATTTGTTTCAGATGTTTAATAAATAACATTTTAAATATATAAATCAGGATATGGCGTTCTTTAAATTGTGACTCAGAAAAGATATTTTGGTATCCTTTACTGTTATTCCTACCCTTCGTTTGAGTCAATTTCTACCCAGTTTTTGTTAAAAATTTCAAACCAAAGCCTTTTTAGTCTGAGACAAACATTATGGTCTAGAGGAGGATAAAGAAACCTCTTGTCTCAAAAACGAAAATGGAAGAATGTGACTTCTTAATTCTAATTTTGCTCTTCAGTTACTTTAGGAGGCATTGTAAAATTATTAATCTGTTGAAAATCTAGTACCATTTGGGTTAATCATGTGCTTTCTAGTCTGACGTTTAGCAGTCACTATGAGAGCATGATAACAGGACCTTGGTGTGACTAAACGCACTGATGCCATCTTCTGGGTCCCTGCGGCACACTCTTACAAGTCACACTGTTAGTGGCTTGGTCTTTCTAGCACATCTAGGAATAATGGGTTCCTAGGTAGAACTGCGTAATTTAAGACTTTTTTCCATGATGTAAAATTATAGTGAGGATCCACATGGAAGTTGGCTTTTTTCTTGTTAAATGACAATGCTTTTAAAATTATTTTTCCTAAGACCATCTTGATAGATTTTGAACATTTCAATGCTTAACTTGTTTTTTGTCTGGTTTTAAGTATCTCAGCAAATTAAAGATATAACTTCACTATACATAATTGCTGTAGCACTTCCTTTTAATATTGCCTCATCAGCTCTTGTGCCCCTTTGTGGTCTTGGTTCTCAAACGTCCTTGATGTTTTTTAAAGCTGTTGTCATTTATTTAGAAGCATTCATTATATGCTTTGTTCTAATCATTAAATTTGATGATTTTTGTCATTATTCTATTTACTAATTTCATCAGTTGTAAAAACCTAGACATTAAAAGAGTGATGGAGAGAAAGCATTAATTCCAGGCACTGTTAGTATTGGGATTAATGATCCTTTAAACAACGAATCACTAGGACGGAGCCTTGCACAAGGTAGGTGCTCTGTCAGTCTTTGCATAAGCGAATGCTGCATTTTGAAATAATACATGGACATGCATGGTAAGAGTCATACTTGCAGAAAAACTCTAACTGGATGGAAGCCATGCAGCAGAAGAGCTTGAGATAGTCCCTTTTATTTAGAGGCGCTTCTAAATGAGTTCTAAGGAGTGAATGATTGCAGTGAGATAGAGCGCAGTGGAACCTTTCTCTGCTCTACACAGCAAATCAGTGGCATAAGAACCCACCGTGAAATGGACTCATTCTGTTCTCTATCCCCATCTTTGCCTATAGAACATCAATTATTTTTGCTTTCAAGTGAGGAGAATCATTTCAGAGATGTCATTTGGGAGAATGTTTAGAGGGCCACTGGCTTCCTATAATTCAATTAGTTTCCTCTCCCTTCCGCAGTGTGTATGTATTGGAGTAGGTTTCCTACAGGAGATGGCTTTAGTGCATTTTAGTAAATGGATCACCTTTTATAAATAAAATGTAATGTTAAATACAGACATAAAACTTAATTGGCAAGAGATATGTGCACGCATACAGTTAGCATTGCCGTTAATTAATTTTGTTGAATTATAAGATAGTGTCGAGAATGAGTGCTTCCTTTATGGATAATAAAATAGCTATTCAGCTTTTTACCAACGAGGCTTAGGGAGCCACCAGGGAGAGCCGGTGGTTCACAGAGCTTGGGTCAGACTTCAGCCACTTCTCAGCAGTGAATATCAGGACCTCCACCTCCAGTGTACCATACAGTGCCATCAGGGAGGGTCACGTGGTATTAAAAATAAGTAAGTTGTGTCACCTGTTTGTGACTTTGCATTAAGTAATTTGAACTTACTGTGAGAAAATAACTTTGGGAATTTTAATGTGGAATGAATGGTATAATTCTATAGTTACCTGGGCCTTGGAGGCAGAGGATGTGGTGAGGATACACCTCCCCCATCTCCTTGAGTTTTGTGTGAAGAGTTAGACCTTGTGTGTGGAGGTGGGTTTTCTCTGTTCTGCCTAACTGCCAAACCTGGATGTGGATTTGGGCGTAGGCCCTTTGGACAGGATACATTAGGTAAATGTGTATGTTACATATATTGGATGTATACATCAGACCTGAATTCCATTCCTTGAGCTATCACCAATCCAAGCCAATAGAGACAGCAGTTTTGAAGATTGTCTTCCCCTGCATTATCACTCACACAGTTGGGGCTACTCTCCCTCTCACTTTTGACACTTTAGTCACCCTGGCCTTCTTTCCCACTGAAGGACCTTTGTACCTGCTCTTCTCCTTTCCTGGAACACTTTTCTCTCTTTTCAGGCTACAGCTGGGCTCTCACTACTATCCTCACCAGCTTGAAGGCAACATAAGACATTCTCCCATCAAGGTTACCAGTAAACATCTTAGCGGCTGAATCCAACAAGCTGTTTTAACATCTTATTTTCCAGTACTCACTCCTTAAAGCCTGTATGTTGGCTTCTGTGAGAGCTCATGCTCCTGGTTCTCTTACCTCAGGCTTTTTTCAGGTCTTCTCCTCTGTCCAACCTCTTCACCTGCATGGCCCGTGGTCATCTAAAATCCACCGTGGCACAAAGTCAACTTAGGTCCACTTCAACTTCTCCTTTCCTGGTATTCCATGTCTCAGTTAGCGATATTTCCACTCACTTGTCGTTGAAACTGGAAACCTAGAGGTCATCCTAGACCCAGTCAAGAACTTATGATTTTACTTCCTATTTTGTGATACTTCCCGCTTATCCCCATCCCTTTTATTAGTAGCCTACCTCAAGCCATCACCATCTCATTCCTTTGATGCTGCAGTAGTCACCTACTGTACCAGCTTCAGTTGTGTCCATATCAAGTCCTTCTAGTGCACATGCAGAGTGAACCATCTAAGGTAAAATTCAGACCTTATCAGTTTCTTCAAAACTGTACAATGTGCTAGTCCCTAGCATGGAGTAGGTACCTATTGTTTGTTGAATGAATGAATGAAGAATGGAGACCAGATGCCTCTCAATATCCACAGTTAGGGCTCAGTTGGATTCTGGAATATATTGTCCACAGTCCTTTAAAGATTTCATGTTTTAACCAAACCTTTTATTTCTGAGTTTTGTGCTTATAAGTTTGTAAAACCAGAATGAATATTGTTAGTATAGTGTTTAGTTCATAGGTTGTCTATAAGAACAAGATAGGATCCCTATGGTGAAAATAAGATTTATGTGCCTATATTTTTGTTTGTCTTTTAGTTATTATCTATTAAATTTGTATATGAAGACTTTAAGAGAACTCTTCAAAAATAAGTGTGTTCCCCCCTGTTATGTTAAAAGAGAAAAGTGAGCATCACTCTTACTGTATCTGCATTTATGTAGCTGGATTTCTGCATTATGAGACAAAGATCCTTCTATTCACAGTTTGACAACTGGTGTTTTGGTTGCTATTCTTTAAGGTTTTGTAAATTTGTTCTGTTTTAACAAAGAATCATCTTAGAACCATTTGCTTGAAAACAACTTGCCAAAAAAGTGAAAAGAAGACGTGACAATGTAATTAGATGTCTAAACATGTTCATCAGGGCGGAGGTGGGGAAGCATAGGTATGATGTCTCCTTTACTCTTAGATTTTCCTACAGTGCTTCAGTATACTCTTATTTGTGGTAAAATATATATAACATAAAATTTATCATTTTAACCATTCTTAAGTGGCCTTAGATAAATTCACATTTTTGTGCTACTTCAGTGTACTTTTTTCCTGAACTTTATTATATTGAAATAATTCAGTACTTTCATGATTGAGACCTAAAGCTGTGCATGCATTGGATAAGCCAAGTTCTCTCTGGGGCTGATCAGAGTCTTTGAAGAAAAATGATTCTGTTTGTTGAGTTTTTGTTAAGAAACTTGCAGCACGTCCAACCTTGTTGGGCTCAGAGAGCAAATGCCAATGGGAAATTATGGGAACAGGCTTAGAAATTTGGCTTATTTGAACATTTTTTTCCAATTTTAGTTTCATAAAACATATTTAGGGTGCCATAAAGCCTCTACAGTTGTGTAGGAATCTCATTTAATCATGATTGGTGTCCTATTTCTAATAGTGAATAAGCAACAATATTGTAGAAAATAATGAAAAATTAAAAAAACTAAAACAGCATTTGGCTATTTCTCCCTAGTATTTTGAAGTTATTTCTGAGATCAGAAATCAACCCTTACATCATGAGATTATATGGAAATTATTTTTATGATATGAATATATTAGAAACAGTGCTCATTGACAAATCAGTGTCTTATATTGTTTCTTTTTTTTTGGAGGAAGATTAGCCCTCAGCTAACTACTGCCAGTTCTCCTCTTTTTGCTGAGGAAGCCTGGCTCTGAGCTAACATCCGTGCCCATCTTCCTCTAGTTTATACGTGGGACGCCTACCACAGCATGGCTGCCAAGCAGTGCCATGTCCGCACCCGGGATCCGAACCAGCGAACCCCGGGCCGCCGAGAAGCGGAACGTGCGAACTTAACCGCTGCGCCACCGGGCCGGCCCCAGTGTCTTATATTGTTTTAATAAAAGGGTGAAGCATTTGTCTGTTTTACTTCACTAGTTTATGAGACTCTTCTCTATTCTGATTAAATCCTGATTATAAAGTATTAATTTAAGTAATATAAAGTAATTAATTTAAGAAGATAGTAGTTCCAAAATGTAAAGTATTATCTGGAAATGTTCAGAGACCATATAAACACAATTTGGTTTATTTGTTTTTATTATTCAACTCTGTTTAAATGTAATCCCTTGTTGTGAAATGATAATTTGGAAACAAACATAGAATGTTAGAAAATAGAAAGGATTGAGCTCAATGCCTAATTCTTGGACCCACTAGAATATGAGGCCAAGCTCTAATTTAGGAGACAGAGGTATCACAATGTGCTGTTCATTCTAATAAATTTAAACCTTTTTTTGGTAAGCTGCTCTAAGAGAAATTTTGGGAGGAATTGGTACTTTAGCCTTTTTCCTTCATCCCAGAGTGAGGAAGTTTAGCTTTGAAATAAACAGAAAGTCCTTACTTTATAATAATCTCCCGGATGGACGTTATGGTCATGAGAATCAATTCAATCATCTCATATGCTAGAAGCTGACAAGAGCACACCTGAACTGATAACAAACTTGGTTTCTCTTGGAAAATGCCAAAAGTACCTGTCGTCCTACTATACACGTAACTGCAATTGATTTGCTCTAATTTCATCATCAAACTTTTTTGTATTTATCAACAAGGAAGATCTACAACCAACGCTTCAACTATTTCCAGTTGAGGATATCCCCTGTCTGTTTGCCTGAACAGTCCCCCTTCCCCACCGCCAATCTGCCAAGATCTTCTTGAGGGAAATAAAGATGTGGTGGTGAAGGGCTCGGCAAAGAGTCCATGGTGGTGAAGAAGCTCAGGAGATCTGGAGTTCTCAATACTCCCTGCCCACTCTAACACGTTTTCCATCTCACCTCCTCCCAACTCTTCAGAGCTAGTGCATAGCATGACCATTGAAAGAACAGACCTAGGCAAATATCAGAGCCCTGAAACTTTTCCAGGATATTTTGACTATAAATAATCTTGGCTCTAGTCAATGGCAGACAAGCTAATTATTTGTTCACATGTGCTTTGGCCAGTTTTTTTCTCATTTGGGAGCTTGTAATAACTTTGGATTTTGTCCTTTGCATGAAATAACACCCATAGGTTGCACATTTTCCACTGGTTCAAAGTTTTAAGGCATTTTGGGATGTCTTATAATCATGTAGGAGTTGGAGGTCAAAGCAAGAAATAAGCATTACGTGAGGCAAGTGGATTCTTTTGTAGGCTAGATATAAAACATTTATCTCTTGAAGGCTTAACTTACTAGGAGAGAAAGTCTTGATTTAAGGAGATATCACCACAAAGTAGAGAGGCTGATAAGAGAAAGCTATTCTGAGAGCAGTAGTTTTGTTCTCATAAATGAACAGAGGCTCAAGAGCGTTAGACTGTGAAGGTTGGTGCAGGGACTATATACATGCGTTTAGAGGAACACTAATTTCCCATTTAAGGTTTGTTAGGAACTATTATAGGTTTTATAACTCTGTTGACAGTAATCCTATTTGGAACATGATCTGCTTATATAAAAATAATTTTTAATATGAAAGGTCTCATTAGCTTAAAAGACTAGTTGAATGGTAGCTTTCAAAGCTGAGTCACAGTCTAATTTACCAGCACAATTCACAGTTTCCCTCTTTATTTTTCTTGGTAGATTAATCCCATCTCACTAGTGCCATTAGGTGCTTGCCTTGATGGTGTGGAAAAGTGCATACAAACATCTGATGTTTCTCAGCATGTGGGTTGTGACAAATTTAGATGTGTTCTAATAGTGCATCTGCGTGTAAATAGCTGAAGATTTATAGTTGTTTTTTAACTTATGCATGAGGAAATTGACCACGATGGGATAATTAAAAATAACAACTCTCTGGAAAAGCAGGAGATAAGTTCTTAAATGCTAGAACACCAAGGGACAATATTCTCTAACCTAAATTGGATAATTTATATCTTTGTCACTTGAAGATCAGATATATATGTTTGAGTTAATGAATTATCCCACCAACATCCTATAACTAAAGCAAATTTTGTTTCCTTTTCACAGGCAAGGTTTTAGTCAATTGAGTAATAAATCATCCTGCCTTTTCCTGAATTATAGGACAGCGAGCTTCTTACAGGCAAGACTGCAGTTAAATGAGGCCCTAGAGGAGAGAGTCTACCCGTGTTAAAAGAATGCCAGCGAAGAGATGGCCCAGGCTACTTTGGCTAGAATTTTCAGTGTTTAAAATAGTAATATCATGTGGCTGTTTTTAAACATTTTTAGTTTATCAGTGAAGATGTATTTTCAATGCTCAAAGGTCAGGAATGAATCAACTTCTTGATAACCCCAATATCCTGGTCACTGCCTACTGATGGTCCTACAGTGACCAGATGTATGAGAAAATGTTCCTCTCCCTTGAAAAAGAATAACCTTACAAGCACGTACAGTTTACAAAGAATATTCATGCTCATTTTCTCTTTTGAGTCTCACAATAACACTGTGTTATATATAAAGATTATTAGTTCCTATTTAAAAGCAGAAATTAAGATTCAGAGAGGCTAAGTGACTTGCCCAAGGTCATATATCTAGCGAGTGGAATAATCACAACTTGAGACTAGTTATTTTTGTCCTAAGGACAATGCTTTTCTCATGCTACTCTTTGTTGCCTGTTTGATATGCTTATCAAATCGGTCACTATAAACATAGATGAAGGTGCTTTTGGGAAATTTGTTCCTGGGAGAATTGTCTGAATCGATGATGTGGTTGAGAGCATTATTAACCTGAGTCTATGACCTGAACAGGAATGTATAAAGAAATATCCAGTTTTAAGCGGCATCGGTCAGATATTCGGTATAAATGAATTGGGACTCGGTGGACTGTCCGGGACTAGAGCAAATCCGTCATCTTATAATCATGAGTATTCAGAGGACTGGACCTGTAATTTAGGGAAGACAATAGGTGAGAAGGCCTGGATGCACCCGAGAAGGAAACAGACGCAAGAGATGATTGACCTGCTAAGGACACACTAAGCTGAACGGGTGAAGTTGGTGCCCTGTTGGCACTGTTGTGCAGGGATGGGTGAAACGGGCTGAGGAGACCCGGATTCTGTGAGCCTGAGATCCATGGACTCTTCCAGACGTGGGTGGAAGGCAAACTGCAAGTGTCCCCTGGGAAATCTTATGGCAAATGCTTGGAAATTAAATTTACATCGGAAGAACTGTAAATGTTAGTGGAGCCATTCATATTTCTCTTTGGTTCTAAGCTGTGACTGCTAATAGCATTATACTGCACTGCAGGTGTGAATTCCCATCACGTTCATTTAAAATATTTACCTCAGTCTGAAAATTTGCTCAAGTGAGAGTCATTTGTCTATCGTTAGCACTCAATCTGACTTTCAAGACACATATTCTTCAAAATAATTTGAGAAAAAAAGTGATTTTTAGTTAAGCTATATTGTAAGTCCTTTGTGATGTAAAATGTGTTCAGGTAAAAATCTTTTATTTGAACTAGTGTTAAGTATAAAACTTAAACTGTTGCAGAATGTGAATGAGGAGAACCTTTTAAAGAAATCCAGCTTTATTGCTTTCACAAATCTCTAGGGACTTAGTTGGGTTATCAAAGTACCAACAGGTGGGGTTCTTAGGACATCTGCTTCAGTGGACAAATAACAGTGATTTGCAGTTAACTTAATACTTGATTTTATTTCAAAGAACATACAGGCATTTGAAAAATAAGCTTTTTTTTCTGAACCTAATAAGATAATTTTCTTGGCGATGTCTCTTTTCTGAAACAGTGAAAAGGTAAATTTTAGGCTAGCGTCTGTCCAGATAATCACGATGTCTGAATGGAGTCTGAAGAGTTCATAGAGTATTAACTGAATTTGTCTGTTTTCTAAAGGAAATTGATTATTTTTAAATTATTTTACAGGATCCTTCAAACCAAAAATGTGGGGGAAGAAAGAAAACTGTGTCTTTCAGCAGCATGCCATCGGAAAAGAAAATTAGCAGTGCGAGCGACTGCATCAGCTTCATGCAAGCTGGCTGTGAACTCAAGAAGGTCCGGCCAAACTCCCGCATTTACAACCGTTTTTTCACCCTGGACACAGACCTCCAAGCTCTTCGCTGGGAGCCTTCCAAGAAAGACCTTGAGAAAGCTAAGCTTGATATTTCTGCCATAAAAGAGATCAGACTGGGCAAGAACACAGAAACGTTTAGAAACAATGGCCTTGCTGACCAGATTTGTGAGGACTGTGCCTTTTCCATAGTCCATGGGGAAAACTACGAGTCTCTGGATCTGGTTGCCAATTCAGCAGACGTAGCAAATATCTGGGTGTCAGGGTTACGGTACCTGGTTTCTCGGAGTAAGCAACCCCTTGATTTTATGGAGGGCAACCAGAGCACACCAAGGTTCATGTGGTTGAAAACTGTGTTTGAAGCAGCAGATGTTGATGGGAATGGGATTATGTTGGAAGACACCGCTGTAGAGTTAATAAAACAGCTCAACCCTACCCTGAAGGAGTCCAAGATCAGGTTAAAGTTTAAAGAAATCCAGAAGAGCAAAGAGAAACTAACCACTCGAGTGACAGAAGAGGAATTTTGCGAAGCTTTTTGTGAACTTTGCACCAGGTCAGAAGTATATTTCTTACTTGTACAGATATCTAAAAACAAAGAATATTTGGATGCCAATGATCTGATGCTCTTTTTAGAAGCTGAGCAAGGAGTCACCCATATCACTGAGGATATGTGCTTAGACATTATTCGGAGATATGAACTTTCTGAAGAGGGACGCCAAAAAGGGTTTCTTGCAATTGATGGCTTTACCCAGTATTTGTTGTCACCAGAATGTGAGATTTTTGATCCTGAGCAAAAAAAGGTTGCCCAAGATATGACCCAGCCCTTATCTCACTACTACATCAACGCCTCTCACAACACCTATCTCATAGAAGACCAGTTCCGGGGGCCGGCTGATATTAACGGGTATGTCAGAGCTTTGAAAATGGGCTGTCGAAGCATTGAACTTGATGTAAGTGATGGTTCAGATAATGAACCAATCCTCTGTAATCGAAATAACATGACAACACACCTTTCCTTTCTAAGTGTCATAGAGGTGATAAATAAATTTGCCTTTGTTGCTTCTGAATACCCACTCATTCTGTGCTTGGGGAATCGCTGCTCCCTGCCACAGCAGAAGGTAATGGTCCAACAGATGAGAAAGGTTTTTGGCAATACGCTCTATACGGAAGCACCTTTGCCATCAGAATCCTACCTCCCATCTCCAGAAAAATTAAAAAGAATGATCATTGTGAAAGGAAAGAAATTGCCTTCTGATCCAGATGTTTTAGAAGGAGAAGTAACAGACGAAGATGAAGAAGCTGAAATGTCTCGAAGGATGTCAGTAGATTACAATGGTGAGCAGAAACAAGTCTGGCTGTGTAGGGAGCTCTCTGATTTGGTATCTATCTGTCAGTCTGTTCAGTACAGGGATTTTGAACTGTCTATGAAGAGCCAAAACTACTGGGAAATTTGTTCATTTAGTGAAACAGAGGCCAGCCGAATTGCAAATGAGTATCCAGAGGATTTTGTAAATTATAATAAGAAGTTCTTATCAAGAATCTATCCTAGTGCCATGAGGATTGATTCCAGTAACTTGAATCCACAAGACTTTTGGAATTGTGGCTGTCAGATTGTGGCAATGAATTTTCAGACTCCTGGTCCGATGATGGACCTTCACACAGGCTGGTTTCTTCAAAATGGGGGTTGTGGTTATGTTCTGAGGCCGTCCATCATGCGAGATGAAGTTTCTTACTTCAGCGCAAATACAAAGGGCATTGTACCTGGGGTGTCTCCTCTGGCTCTTCACATCAAGATCATCAGTGGGCAGAATTTTCCAAAGCCCAAGGGAGCGTGTGCCAAAGGGGATGTCATAGATCCCTATGTTTGTATAGAGATACATGGAATTCCGGCAGACTGCTCCGAGCAAAGAACTAAAACCGTACAACAAAACAGTGATAATCCTATTTTTGATGAAACTTTTGAGTTTCAAGTAAACCTGCCTGAGCTGGCCATGATCCGCTTTGTTGTTCTGGATGATGACTACATCGGGGATGAGTTTATAGGGCAATACACAATACCGTTTGAATGTTTGCAGCCTGGATATCGGCACGTTCCCCTGCGCTCTTTCGTGGGTGACATCATGGAGCACGTAACCCTTTTTGTCCACATAGCAATAACTAATCGAAGTGGAGGAGGCAAGGCACAGAAGCGCAGCCTTTCGGTGAGAATGGGGAAGAAAATTCGGGAATGCACCATGCTCAGGAATGTCGGTCTTAAAACCATAGATGACGTCTTTAAAACAGCACTTCATCCCTTGCGAGAAGCCATAGATATGAGAGAAAATATGCAGGTAGGAAAAATCCCGTCCTCTCCCCCCCGCCCCTACTCCCTCCTCCCTTCTCTTACTGGTGAACATTGTGTTTTATTAATAGTCTGATTCCTCAAAAAATTATCAGAAAGATTGTGTAAACCCATATACCACTGAACTAAGTTCAGTGTTGCCTGTAATAAAGCAGATATGTTTTATGTTTCTATTCATGAATGCTGTGTTAAATTTGGCCTGAACTAAGTGAGCCAGGTAGTGGAGTATCAATGTAGCAAAATGCCATATACCCATTAAACATCGCTAGTACATAACCAAATTGATATGTGGAATGTGTATATGAAGAGAATAGAGTACAAAGTATTGTATGTGTGTCATACATAAAATATTAAATAAACACGCGCATACTGATTAGGAGTGTATGTGTAAAATATTTGCATATGTGAACACAAAAGGGAATTTTAAGTCATATGAAACAAATGTAATGTCTGTTGTTACTTTTTAGTTAGGTGTACAACGATAATAATAAGTTATTCCCCACAAGAGCAAACAAAACTAAACAAAATTTAGCACTTGAACTTGCTGAAAACTATGTAGGTTTCTCTTAGAAATGCGGTTTAATCAAAAGGACGTGGATTCTGGATTAAACTCTAGCCCCATGTGATCTTGAACAAATTATTTCAGCTCTTTGATCATCAGTTTTCTCTACATAAGGTAACAAAAATAGTAATACTTACATTGCAGGATTATAATGAGAAATAAGTGAGAGTTTCTGTAAATTGCGCAGCCTTGGCATGTAGAAATTCAATGTTAGTTTCTTTCCCTTCATTAATGCTTGTAATCAGAGATGGCCACAAACTTTTTTCTTCAATATCGTTTAACGTATTTATTCCAGGCTCAATGTCACTGAGAGTCCATCCACAACAATACTGCGTTTCTGCACCAGGCAAGGAGGTGCTGGTGGGCAGAAGCAACAGCAGTCTATGTACGAGAGTGAAACAGGAGAGGAATATTTTTCAATGCACTGCATTTGCTCCTTTAGCTAACATTTTTAAAGTAACCCTCACCGGAAAATCCCCACTTCAAGACAGAAAACAAGCTTGAAGAGATTAAATAATTTCCCAAATATTGCTGTTAATAAATAGCAATGTCGGGCTTTAAATCCAGACCTACTGCCACAACCATGGTCCTTCCTGGTTTTTAGTCATGTGATGCTGATCCTCAAACCCACGACTTGGTGAAAACTTTATTTTTACATTATTTCACAGAGGAATTCTAGGATTGACTTAAAATCAATTTTAATAGCCAAAGTGGTGGAAAATAGTGTGGTACATAAATGATATGTAAATCCTCAGACTGTAAGCATTTAATTTGAGGTGGGGTCTCTTAGCCACTATTTTAAAAACAGTCTCCAAATATTAGCATCTTCTACCTGCCTTTTCCTGACATAATTCTGTAACTATTATAAATCCCTCTATGAGATTAGTTATAAATCATTTCTACATCTAAATTTATAAATAGAAGTAGATTTTGTATATTTCTATATAATTCTTGAAATATATCCTTTATATATATTATGTGTTTAAAATACATATTAAGGAGAGTTGGTTATGGATAAAGTTTTTCCAGGTAGTACTGATAATTTATATCGTCTCAACAGAAACTCTTTTGGGTTGAGGATTATTTGGAGCCTAATCAGTAGAAAAATGAGTACTATCATTGTCACTAAATTCAGGAGACATATAATAGGTTAGGTATTATTTGCTGTTAATAAAACATAAAATAGTCATAATTCTTATTTCAAATGAATTTTTTAAAAGCCTGTAACATGGACAAACATAGCCCAACATGAAATGTGTTTTAGTATGTGCATCTGTGAGGTGCATCTCTGATGGGATGACAAAGAGTACCATTGATGGTTAGTTAAGTGCACGTGGTGAGTGATGGCAGCCTGCTCCCTTGAGGGGAAGAGCCTGAAGGAGATGCACTCCGATGGACAACCACTGACATGCTTTTATGACCATCAGGATACAAATAAAATAAGGTGTTCATGACTGGCCAATGCTAGTTTGTATGAATATTCCAGTGCTTAGCTTTGAAAAGCACTGTGTAGCCTTGAGTCTCAATCTGCTTTGCTTTGTGGCATATTTGTAGTGGTTGCTGAAAACTGAGAAAGATGAAGTCTAATAGTGAATTAGCTCTGTGTTATCTGTGTGCATAACACAACCTTTCTGGTTGGTTATAATCCAGTTTGCTCCACACGATATCTGTATTTAAGGGTGTTCCTTTATGAATATGGTTTTGTGTAAGCCTAGGAGTGCTGGGGGTGAAGTGTCATGTGGTCAGAAGTGTAATTCCATGTTTTCTTCCCCGCAGAATGCCATCGTGTCTGTTAAGGAGCTGTGTGGACTTCCTCCTATCGCCAGTCTAAAGCAGTGCCTGTTGACCCTGTCCTCTCGGCTCATCGCCAGTGACAATTCTCCCTCAGTCTCTCTTGTGATGAAAGATAACTTCCCTTATCTGGAGCCTCTGGGGGCAATTCCAGATGTGCAGAAAAAGATGCTGGCTGCTTATGATCTGGTAGGATATTGTGACGCTGTATTTCTTATCTATGCATGTGGGAGATCATATGGCAGGGCTCTTTCATGGAACTCTAATGAATAACACAAAATCATTGCCTTTGAAACCTGGTTTGGGGGTAGCAGGCAGAGTTGGCCCTCTCTGCTTCCCATAAGCCCCAGTGGAGACTCCGAGGAGGTGCTCTGAACCCAGAGCTCCACAGAATGCAAATGGAAAATCTCCGCTTTAGCGAAGAATGAATTATTGATTAAGTCCTCAAGGGTATAAACAATTTCTCATCCTCCAAGTGACTTTAGCCTGAAAATAATCATTTAATTGCACACCTCTAGCAAGTAAACTTATGTCTCAGGGCTGCCTTATGATGGTTAAAACTAGGCATTTCTCTGGAGTTTTTATTTCTAAGCTCATAATGTTATCTGACTTTTCTGAATATATAATAGAATTTATGTAGCAATTAAATTTAAGAATAACTATATTTTTACATCTCCTAATTCCATAAAAAAAATTAAGGAGCAAATGAAAAACTGGGAAAATTTGTAACATGTGTGCTAGATAAAGTGTAAATGTCCTTAAAATAGAAAGAACACTTAAAAATAGATAAGGAAAAAAATACCGTGAAAAGAATCTTACATCAATCAGGATTAAGTTCAGCTTCATGAACCAAAAAATGCAAACCAGTCATGGCTTAAAAATACAAAGTTTTATTCTCTCACATAAAAATCTGGAGACCAGCCATTGAGAGTGGCACGTCCACAGTCTTAGGAACCTGGGCTCCCTCGAGCTTTCTGCTCCACTGTCCCTAGACCATCCTCAGAGTCCAAAATGGCTGCTGAGCTCCAACCATAACATCTGCATTGGAACCATCAGGAAAGATGAAGAGGAAAAAGAGGCATATCCTCTCTTTTTAAGTATATTTCTGTGAAATAGCGTGGATCACTTTTGCTTATATTTCATTAGCCTGGAATTGACACATAGCCACACTTAGCTGTGAAGGAGAATGGGAAATGTCTTTATTTCAAGGGGCTATGTGCCTAGCTAAAAGTTGTCTCTTCGGTTACTAAGAGATAGAGGGAGGGTGGATATTAGGGGACAGCAGATAGCTGTGCTTCAGGGGTGAACAGGCAATTCATGTGTCTCCTCCCCCTAAAAAAAACCCAATGAAAATGCAAAGACATATTTAACGTTAAAGTAAATTTTTAATTAAAGATATTAAAGAAATGAAGTGAGATACTTGCCCTCTCCATCAAATTGGCATTTTTCTTTTCTTTTTAAAAAAGTACCTCTGATAAAGAATTTAAGGAAATGGATACTCTCATCCATCCACTTCTAGCGGGAAAATAAAGTGAGATAATTTGGGGGGAAAAATTTGGTGATGTAATTTAAAATGTTTACCCCATTTGAGCTACATATTTCCTTTCCAGGGATTTATTATAAGTCAATAGAGATTTACGTAAACATATAGGTTTAATGATGTCAACATAGAAGGATTGGTTACAAAAAATACAGTAAACCATGTTATAGACTCTTTTGAAACCATTAAAATAATGTGTTAGAAGAATATTTAATGATGTGGGGAACTCCTTATAATATGTTTTGTGAAGAAGTCTGGTTATAAAAAATATACACTATAAGATTTAAATTGTATTTATATGTGTACATAGCTAAAATACTAGCAGGATATTAATAGTGATTATTTTTTTTCTAGGTTTAAATAAGCTTTTGTTGGTGAAACTCATGATATATTTTATAGGGTAAATCAAAGGCCTGGAGATTTGTTAATATCCTTTCTGTTTTTGACCTGTTCTTACTCTCAGGATAATCACTGACTACCTCTTTATAAAACTGATTATGTACTTTAATAGAAGATTCTACCCTCTTCTCTTCTTTTTTTTAATTAATTTTTTTATTGTGCCATAACAGTTTGGAACATTGTGAAATCTCAGTTGTACATTATTATTTGTCATACACCATATAAGTATGCCCCTTCACCCCCTGTGCCTACCTCCTACCTCCCTTCCCCTGGTAACCACACTGTTCTCTTTGTCCGTAAGTTTGCTTATGTTCCACAAATAAGTGAAATCATATGGTGTTTGTCTTTCTCTGTCTGGCTTATTTCACTTAACATAATACCCTCAAGATCTATCCATGTGGTTGCAAATGGGACAATTTTGTCCTTTTTTATAGCTGAGTAGTATTTTATTGTATATATATATATGACATCTTCTTTATCCAATCATCAGTTGACGGGCACTTGGGTTGCTTCCATATCTTGGCTATTGTGAATAATGCTGCCATGAACATAGGGGGTGCATAAGCCTCTTTGTATTGTTAATTTCAAGTTTTTTGGATAAATACCCAGTAGTGGGATGGCTGGATCACATGGTATTTCTATTTTTAATTTTTTGAGGAATCTCCATACTGTTTCCCATAGTGGCTGCATGAGTTTGCATTCCCACCAGCAGTGTATGAGGGTTCCCTTTTCTCTACATCCTCTCCAACATTTGTTTTTCTGTCTTGGTGATTATAGACATTCTAACGGGCGTAAGGTGATATCTAAGTGTAGTTTTGATTTGCATTTCCCTAATGATTAGTGATGTTGAGCATCTTTTCATGTCCCTTTTGGCCATCTGTAGATCTTCTTTGTAAAAATGTCTGTTCATGTCCTCTGCCCAATGTTTGATCAGGTTGTTTGTATTTTTGTAGTTCAGTTGTGTGAGTTCTTTATATATTATGGAGGTTAACACTTTGTTGGATATATGATTTGCAAATATTTTCTCCCAGTTGGTGGGGTTTTTTTTTTATTAAGGTTGTGAAAGTTAACATCCTTGTGAAATTACAGTTGTACATCATTATTAGTCATGTTGTAGGTACACCACTTCACCCCTAGTACCCTCCCCCCACCCCCTTTCCCCTGGCAATCACCGATCAGTTCTCTTTGTCCATATGTTAACTACCACCTATGAGTGGAGTCATACAGAGTTCGTATTTCTCTGTCTGGGTTATTTCACTCAACATAATGCCCTCAAGGTCTATCCATGTTGTGGTGAATGGGACGACTTTGTCCTTTTTTATGGCTGAGTAGTATTCCATTGTATATATATACCACATCTTCTTTATCCAATCATCAGTTGCTGCGCACTTAGGTTGGTTCCATGACTTGGCTATTGTGAATAATGCTGCGATGAACATAGGGGTGCATGGAACTTTTGGAATTGCTGATTTCAGGTTCTTAGGATAGATACCCAGTAGTGGGATGGCTGGGTCATAAGGTATTTCTATTCTTAACTTTTTGAGGAATCTCCATACTCTTTTCCATAGTGGCTGCACCAGTTTGCATTCGGGTGGGTTGTTTTTTCATTTTGATTCTGGTTTCCTTTGCCTTCCAGAAGCTCTTTAGTCTGATGAAGTCTTACTTGTTTATTTTTTCTTTTGTTTCCCTTGTCTGAGTACACATGGTATTCAAAAAGATCCTTTTAAGACTGATGTCAAAGAGTATACTGCCTCTATTTTCTTCCAGAAGTTGTATGGTTTCAGGTCTTACCTTCAAGTCTTTGATCCATTTTGAGTTTATTGTTGTGTGTGGAGAGAGATAATGGTCTACTTTCATTCTTTTACATGTGGCTGTCCAGTTTTCCCAGCACCATTTATTAACAAGACTTTCCTTTCTCCATTGTATGTTTTTGGCTCCTTTGTCAAAGATTAGCTTTCTGTGGGTGGGTGGTTTTATTTCTGGGCTTTCGGTTCTGTTCCATTGATCTGTGTGACTGTTTTTGTGCCAGTACCATGCTGTTTTGATTACTATAGCTTTGTAATATGTTTTGAAGTCAGGGATTGTGATGCCTCCAGCTTTGTTCTTGTTTCTCAGGATTGCTTTGGCTATTTGGGGTCTTTGCTTGCCCCATATGATTTTTAAGATTCTTTGTTCTATTTCTGTGAAGAATGCCATTGGGATTCTGATTGGGATTGCGTTGAATCTGTAGATAGCTTTAGGTAGTAGGGGCGTTTTAACTGTGTTTATTCTTCCATAATAGTGATTATTTTTAACTAAGGAGCATGAATTTTATTTTCTTATTTATGTTTTTCCATATTTTTTCTCTATTTGCCAAACTCTTTATAGTGAACCTGACTGATTTTTATAATTGAATAAAAAGAAACAGTAAAGAAGAAAAGAATAATGTTTTATCATCAAACACAACTGGAAGATGTTTAGGATAACCATTCTACAGCTGAAAAAGGAAAAAATCCCATAGAGTGTATTTTGCTTATGAGTGATTGAACCTCTTATAAACTGTACTTCATGGCTGCTGGGGGAAAAGTTCGCCTATTACCTGTATCTCATTTTTCATGAAATCAATTTTTTCATCATAAAAGTAGGGACTGAAAGCTATTCAGTGAATAGGTATAATTGCCATCTGAGAGGTGAAATTAGGGTACTAGTTGCCATAGAAACAGACAGTGGAAATCACTCCAATTCCCTTTTAAGCTAAGCAAGAAGAATCATTCACTGAGAGGGGAGCCTGGTCCCCCGGAGCTGGGCCTATAAGAAGCAGAAAAGCACCTGAACTGTGTTTGGCCCATTTCCATTTCACATCCCCAAGTGTCCGATGGGGTTTTGTTTTTCCGTTTTATCTGCTGGTGCCAAATGTGAACATGAGCTTTTTCTCATTTGTATTTTTAAAATGCAATTTGTAATTATAAGCATAGCATAGTTTTCCAAAGCTTAAAATCAAAGGCTACCGTGGACAGCAGAAATACTTATAACGATGTCTTCTTTTATAGTTCCCTATGGAAATGGCTTTTCATTTTGGTAAGGAGTTGAGTATAAATATCCTTACATCAAATGGTAAACTCAGCAGACTGTGGAAGTGATCGAAAATCCTGCTGACGTCTCTGTTTGTTGTTTCTTTTAGGGGGTGGGTGGGTAGGGCCAGATGAGTGTTGTGACAGTATTGAACGTAAAAATGCCATTTTTAGCTTTTAGGTTTTGCTTTGTATTGGTT